AAAGTTGGGGCACTCACACTACCAGATTTCAAGATTTACTGTGAGGTTATGGTAAATAAGAGGGTGGTATTTGCACATGAGCAAACAGACCAGTGGAAAAGAAGACAGAATCTAGAAACAGTCAGTCAAATATATGGTCTCTTGGTTTATGACAACCAAAAACCAATTCCATGCGAATTGTGATGTGTAAATATGAAAGGCAAAGCCATAAAGATTTAAGCAGGTAAAGATTACCCTCAAGAATTAAGGAGGAACAGACTTCTTTTTTTTTTTTTTTTTTAATTTTTTTCTTTTTTTTCAACGTTTATTTATTTTGGGGACAGAGAGAGACAGAGCATGAACGGGGGAGGGGCAGAGAGAGAGAGGGAGACACAGAATCGGAAACAGGCTCCAGGCTCCGAGCCATCAGCCCAGAGCCTGACGCGGGGCTCGAACTCACGGACCGCGAGATCGTGACCTGGCTGAAGTCGGACGCTCAACCGACTGCGCCACCCAGGCGCCCCAAGGAGGAACAGACTTCTTAAACGGCGCCAAAGAACACATTCACCAGAAAGGAAAACTATGAAAAACTGGATTTCATTAAAATTAAGCAATTTTACTCATCTAAACAACATTAAGACAGTGAAGTCACAGAGTGGGAGAAGATATTTGCTAGATATATATATATATTATATATATTTTTGCTATATATATATATTTGCTATATATATATATATGCTATATATATATATATTATGAAGACCTCATGTGCAGAACAGAACTAAGAAAGTAAAAAAAAAAAAAAAAGCGAATGGCTGCCTAATAACCATTAGGTAAGGTATTCACAATAATTAACCTACAGAGAGATGTCAGTTACAGTGGTGAGTTTCCTCTCCCTTATCAGAATGGCTAATATGTAAACAAACATGCCCAGCGGTACCAAGTGTCAGGGAGGACGCAGAATTACTGCGGCTTTCCCACGCTGCTCACTGAACATAACCGCGAGCAACCACTTTGGAAAAGTGCCAAAGAACATATGTACACCCAAACAATTCCACTCATAGCTATACACCAAATGGAAATGAATGTATATGTTCACTAAGACACTTCCATAAGAATGCTCACAGCAGCATTATTTGTGATGGCCCCAAATTTTCAACAACTCAATTGTCCATCAATAAATAGGCTGGATAAGTTGTAGTAGAGTCATAAAATTAAAAAAAAAATTTTTTTTTTAAGCTACTGGGGCATCTGGGTGGCTCAGTCGGTTAAGCATCCGACTTGGGCTCAGGTCATGATCTCCCAGTCACTGAGTTCAAGCCCCACATCGGGCTCTGTGCTAACAGCTTGGAGCCTGGAGCCTGCTTCAGATTCTGGGTCTCCCTCTCTCTGCCCCTCTCTTGCTCACACTCTGTCTCTCTCTCTCTCTCTCAAAAATAAATAAATGTTAAAAAAAATTTTTTTAATGCTACACATGAAAATATGTGTAAGGTTCACAAATATGATGTCATGCAAATAAATTCATAGACAAAAGAATATATACTATATGATTCCATTTACCTAAAATTCAAAAACAGGCAAAGCTAATTTATAAAAATAAAAGGATAGAGGCTATTATAGTTAAGTGGCTGATGCCTTTACAAAGGGTCAGAGGGTTCCTGGGGCTCTGGTAATAGTCTTTGTCTTGATTTAGATGATAGTTACATGAACATGTTTAGTTTGTAACAACTCCTCACACTGTATTACTTATAATTTGTGCTTGTAATTTTTCTGTATGGGTATTACACTTAAGTAAACATTTTCCAAATGAAAAAGCACTGCTGAACAAGAAAGAAAGAAAAAACACCAGGGTCCAACGAGGAAGGGGAAGCAGTTAATGGAGGGATAAATGAAGGTTGAAATGAAATAGTGCCCTGAGGGCATTTGCTCATCCCTGGAATTTAGAGTGCAGTGACTTTTTACTTTTAGATACTTGCAAGATGGTGAGTTAAAATGTTACAGCTCAGAGCCTGGAGCCTGTTTCAGATTCTGTATCTCCCTCTCTCTCTCTGCCCCCTCCCCTGCTTGTGCTCTGTTTCTCAAAAATGAATAAATGTTAAAAAAAAAATTAAGATTCTGGCCATAAGGATGGACCTTTCCAGACCGGGGGCAGGAGAGAGCGTCTAGAAAATATTTATCTCCTGATGAGAAGTGTCAAGAAAACTTCTTTATCTTTGTGGGGGCTTGAGGGGGAAATATTCAAAACTACAGTTGTTGTTGGTTTTTCATATTCATTTAGTTTTGAGAGAGAGACAGAGAAAGAGCACACAAGCAGGGGATGAGTAGATAGGGAGACAGAGGATCCAAGGTGGGCTCTGTGCTGAGAACCTGATGCAGGGCTTGAACCCAGGAACGTGAGATCATGATCTGAACCAAAGCCAAGAAATGGAAACTTAACTGACTGAGTCACTCAGGCACCCCCAAAACTACAGGTTTATCGGGTTCAAACTGGTTACCTGTGGGATCTGAGGAAACTCAAAATAATTAAAGCATTACTAGGTAAATCATGTCCCAGGATGCTTGGCTAAAGGAAACAATATCCTACCTGAAGGAATACACACAGTTCAGGTGTCACAAAATTATGCAGATAACCTTCTACAGAAGAACGAGTATGACCCCTGGGCTTTGCATGGGGCTGGTGTCCTCCTGGGCTGTGTGTACAAATGAACCTGTGGCGGGGGGGGGGGGGGGGGGGGGGGGGGGGGGAGGGGGGGGGGG